GTTGATGTTGTTGTTGCTGTTGTTCTTGTTGTTGTTCTTCTTATTATTCTTCTTCTTGTTGTTGTTGTTGTTGTTGATGTGCTTGTTGTTGTTGTTGTTGCTGTTGTTCTTGTTGTTGTTCTTCTTCTTCTTCTTCTTGTTGTTGTTGTTGTTGTTGTTGTTGTTGTTGTCTGTCGTCGTCGTTGTTTGTCGTCGTCGTTGTTGTTGTTGTTGTTGTTGTCGTCGTTGTTGTTGTTGTTCGCAGTAGTAGAGGTAGGCAAGCAACACGGCTCATGCTGCGTCATCGCTCCAATTTCCAACGTGGTCAAGATCACAATTTAGTAGTGCCATATATTCTATTGGAGTAAGGAGCCATGCTCTGGCTAAGGCGAAGTCAAGAACATCATTGAGCACAAGATCGCAATGTCCAAAGCAAGACAGGCACGCAGCCGTTGGTGGCCTGTGGGGTTCGTCATCCCGCTAAGAACGGGCATCCTACAGGGATTCGTTGACTGTGGGAAACGGAGGTGGCTGGCCAGTTTTGGTTTGCAAAGTTCAAAGAGCCGAAGATCCAAAACCCTACCCAGCCCTACCCAAACCCTACGAAGGCGATCCATAAGCTCAAGGAGGTTCACGAGCAGATCCGACAGGCCTCGAGCGGGTTTGGGATGAGGGTTTTGGCCTTAGGGTTTCGGGGTTTAGGGACATAGGTGTTCTGAACACTTGGTTGTTTTGCAAAAGAGCTTGTAAGGGCCTTTTGGCGGTTCACATAAGTTTTCATGGGAAGTCTTTTTTCACTTGCGGACGGCGTCTTGGAAACAAGGATCGTATTATGCAGGTTTCCTAATGTTTCCTATTTGCCTGCTCCTCTTCTCTGAGGCTCCCCAATGTCTCCTTTCGCGTGCAATTTTTACAGCTTGTATGGGATGGATTGAACTTATCACCCGGCAGTGGGTGTAATCTGTAACAGGTAACAAGATGGGAGCTTTACCATCCTCGCAAGGGAAGCATATTGGTCAGGGGACAGCTAGCGACGCCAGGTTCAGGATCTAGGCTGCTCCGTGGTCCATTGGGAAGTCGTGAAACCTGAAGCCTACCGGCAGGCCTGCAGTTCGACACCGAAGATTCAGGGCAGGATCCAGGTAGCTCACACAAAAGAGCCAAACATGCTCGTAAACTTCAACACCTGCTAGGGTCATGTATGCCTATCGCTTTGACGCCAGGGCTGGAAGTAGTTGAAAGTTCGTCTTGATTCTTTGAGTAAGTTTCGAGTTTAGTGACAGGGTTCCGGCTGCCAGGTGCTCTAAACCCAAAACCTTATAAACCTCAATCCCAAACGCTAAACCCTAAACCCTAAAGCCTAAACCGTAAACCCTGAGCCCCAAACCCTAAGCCCTAAACCGCAACCCCTAAGCCCCAAACCCTCAGCCCTAAACCGTAAACCCTAAGCCCCAAACCCTAAGCCCTATAAACCTACCCCTAAGCCCTCGGGGGGCTCGAAGGGCAGCTGCATGTGTGGCAGCATCGCAGTTGGGGGCTCAAGGCCGATCCTGGTGTCTGCCACTACCAACTTGAACCTTCACCATTAGTGTAATAGGGTTTAAATTAGGGTTTAGGGTTTAGGGTTTAGGGTAATATACAGTAGTGCAATGTAATGTCATAGTCATATTATTAAAATAAGCAGTAGTCTGATGTAAACATACGTTGTAAACTACTGCAGGGAAATATACGATAAGAGGCTATAATGTAGTATACTTGATGCAAAGCATATACTTTAGGAACTTCAGCCCCAAAAAAACCGTGAACCCAGCAATAATCAACCCGAACCCAAGCCATGAACCATCCCCATAAGCCGAAGTTCCCGGCTCTCAAAAAAACGCGCCCGCAACATCCCCAACAAGGCGCATAAGGAAACTGGTGCGTTTATATTCTCTTAAAAGGTCCCCGACTCGAAACCCCTCTACGTACCTGACAACGCTGAATCCCCCCAAAACCCTACGGTTTAGGGTTTAGGGTTTAGGACACTCTACCAAGGGCGAGCCCCAGATCTCCATTTTTGGGTATCCTTGAAAGAAGCCATGCGGACATGGCCGCTGCTGCTGGCGGGTGCTGTTGCCTGGACTGTGTGACCGGGTCGCATTCTGGGAAGGCTTTAGCACGTTAGGGTTCAGGGTTTCAGGGTTTAGAGTTTAGGGGTTAGGGTTTAGGGTTCTGATGGAGGGTTTAGTGGTGGAGGGTTTCGGTTTTGGGGTGCGCCTGAACCCCCAAGGTCTGTAGAATAATAGCCATTCGTCGGTGTTGGGCCATTATTTTACCTACTTTTGGGTATTTAGGTAGGGCTTGTTGGGTTTAGGGCTTCGGAGGGCTTCGAGGGCTTGGAGGGCGAGCAGGAGCAGAGTTTGGAGTTCAGTGCTTCAGGCTTTCATGTCTAATGTAGGGGCCTTAATAAGTACCTAATGATACAATGTAGGGGCCTTAATTTGGGTTTAGGATTTAGGGTTTAGGGGTTTAGGGTTTAGGAATCAGTACCTATACTATTTTGGGGGGTTCCTTAATATAGTTATGGTATAATGGGCCCCAAAACCCTATTCTAATTGTCAAGGCCCTTACATTATGTTGTGTGAGGTTCAGAGACTTATGGCACCAATAGTAAGTAGTAACATCCGCGTATAGTCCCTTTGCCAGTTAAGTGTATTCCAACATACCACCACGACCCTACTCTAGATAATTGAGGCTCCTTTTTTACTTTCAGAGCTTGCAAAGAGCCTCGGGTAGAATTCTTGTGGTCTAAACACATTGGGGAACATGCTGAAGTATGAACACTAAGCAACTTGGTGAACACCATGCTTTCCGCTTGAATCTCTCCTCTTTCCTAGGAGCAGGGCCCGATCCCACCACGACCCTACAACCTTTGACGGAGGCTGGATAGTCCAGTAATTGCCTCGGCTATGATAGAGGGTGGGTGGGTGGGGGTGGGTTGGTTTTCGGAGAGGAGGCGAGGGGATGTGTAAGTACTTCGTAGAGATCTGCATGGCGTTTGACGGATGTTGCAGGAATCACACCTTCAACCCTAAGCCCCTCAACCCCAAGCCCTGAAGCCTAAACCCTAAAC